GCTAAACAAAAAGCTCACAAATAAAGAATTTTGTTTAACACACTGAGGCATAAATATTATTCGGGTTTATTCTTAATATAAGTTCTTCAGTAATGGTACTCCAGGTCAACTACAAAAAAGCCGCGACTTCTCCGATTTGTCTATGGGTGCGTAGTGTCTTGATATAAACATGAAAGACACACAAACGTAACATACACGGATATGTGAGTCCGTGTCTGACGTGTTTTTGTGTGTCCCTTGTCTCCTTTCGCGTTCGCATACAAAGATGTTTAACAACACGCTGTCCTAATTCTATATATAAAAAAGGAAGACATTTTTTAGACAGATACGTTGATATAGAAACATTAAAAAGGCCGGCGCGCAACCATTGTGATATATATATATATATATATATATATATATATATATATATATATATATATATATATATATATATATATATATATATATATATATATATATATATATATATATATATATTTATGAATATATCGTTTTCTATAGCCGTCCCGGTAAGTTACAGCTTAAGCTCGTATGTAACAGGCAAGCATACTTTCTTGCCATTGAGAACTTCGAAATTTGACAGACACAACGAGTATTCCTGTCGCTCATATACACGTTGAAATATTCAAAGCCGTTGAAATTTACAGATGTCGCCCGTCCTTAATTGCTACAGATTTGACTGTCTGGACAAAGATGATATCTTCTGAGAGTGTGGACCGGTCACTGAACAAATGAAAAGGCTTCCAATTTGGAAGACACGCTGGTCATTGTAGAAAAAACAACGTCCCTATTGAAAAATATTGCCTAGGTTCTGATGTAGGAGAGCCAGATATGTAGCATGATGTAAGATTTCCATATCAAAATATTCTGGCGGGCTAGGAGGTTATACCTACTAAATTACAAAGAGCGCTAAGACAAGGACAGACGAAGAAGTGGACAGGACAGGCACTAACTCACAACTGACGGTTTTATATACACCGAGAAAGAAGAAGGTAAATAAAGTGGTTGGAGTTGAAAGAAGAAGAAATAATTCTATTTCTAGCCGGGCGTTCTAATAAAGGAGCTTGTTAGACTAGTAGGAATAAAACACAGCCGATCAAAACAAAAATATTCAAAATGAAACAAACATATAGAATTTGAACTATAGCCTCCTTTTTTGAACACCAGTCACTTCTTTTTCTTCTTCATTCTCGTTGCATATAAAACCGCCCGCGTGAGTTAGCGCCTGTCCTGTCCACTTCCTCGTGTGTTCTTGTCTTAGCGCCATTTGAAATTAAGATTTCCGTCATTTAGTAGGACTAGTCTACCAAATTAAAGTTAAAAGTGTGAGCATTTTTTTTTTGTTCTTTTTGGCTTAGAAGCTTTTGGATGTTTCGACGAAATTACTTTACACGCTGTGAGAATATGAATAAAATCTAAATTCATCTACCATAATTTCTAATTTGTCCACTCCCCGCGCCCAACCAACGACTTTTGTTGTAAGGTTACTACATTTCAATTGGCTCTCTCTTACTATATAAAAAAGGTCGTTCAATGTTATCTCCACCTTTTGCCCAGCCACACTCGCAACGGTCGAAACAGAGCATAACGCTAAAAGATTTGTGTAGGACCATGTTGATAAAAGCAAGCGTTGGCAAGAAAGAATAACCCAAAAGAAAAAGGTTGTCTGTGTCTTATTTTCATGTGATGCACTGAGTTCTGATACAGTCGATTTTTATGCTTTCATCTTCGATCCCCCCCCCCCCCCCCCCCCCCCCCCCTTGCCGCCGTGCGTGTCCCGCATTCCGCTAGCAGGAAGGGGGTCCCTTTAGACTATTCGCTTCCAAAGCCGTTGAATCGCCGGGCGTGCCGTCAGGGGCCATATTGCCAAAGCCGGCGATTCACCGGTCTGCATGAATTTATGTATTAAAGAGCCATTCATAGATGGCGCGCTATGTGGACCTGGGATATGTAGACTTGTTCCCGGTCTAGACATGGATCTAGATTTGGGTCGGCATGACAAGGGTGGGGACGGGTTGGTGCACTGCGAGGGGTGTGGGAGGTGGTGTTACCTAGAGGAGACGGGTTTCGGGAGTCTGGAGGAGGCGGCAGGCATGAGTTTCCTGTGTCGGCTTTGTGTGAAGCTTAAGCAGGTAACTGGGGAATGGGAGAATAGAGTTCGGGAGATTGAGGCTGAGCTTAAGGCAGAAGGAGAGAAGCGGGTGGGTCTCGAGGCCCAGGTTGAGGAGCTGACGAGGCAGCTTAATCATGAGAGGGAGCAGCCGGTCGGCCTCGAGAAGCGGGCGGAACAGCTGGGGGAAGTGTGGAAGGCGGGTTTAGAGGAGCGTAAGAAGGAGTGTGACAGTTAGAGCGCCTGGAAAGGGTAATTTGAGCAAGTGAGAGTAGCGAGAGAAGAAAGGAGGAAGTGGGGGCGTGGAACCGGCACAGTCATGGCGGTGCCCTTCACGCATATTCGTTTTCTGCTGCTCATGCAGGTCGTGTGTCGTGGTGCTTCATCGCTATTGCAACGCAACGTCAGCAAAGACACGGAACATCCCCCACCATCGGCTACGCCTGTTTTCGCCTTCAACTCGGATCTTCTCGACGACACCACTCTCGCAACGTGTCCGGCACCCGTTTCTGGCCAGTGTCCGATCCCTGCCTACGAACCTTGGGAGGACAGTTTCGGTGTTTTCAGCCTACAAAAGGCGGAAATCGACAGTCTCGACTTGGGGCGTGGAACCGGCACAGTCATGGCGGTGCCCTTCACGCATATTCGTTTTCTGCTGCTCATGCAGGTTGGTGCCAGCTTCTCTAAATGTTCTAAATTTCGTTTTGCTCTTCTGCCGGTTCCACCCCATGTTGTATTTGCTAACGTTAGATCACGCGGCTTGACCTGCCGATTTCGGAGAGGTTTCGTGTTGTTGCACAATTACGCTTTCTATTTCTTATTGCTACTGCTGTGCGGTGACGTTGAATTAAATCCCGGCCCTCTTTCTGCCGCGCAAGAAAATCAGCTAGTTGAAGCAATGCAACTAATTCCTAGTATGCACGAAGGACAAAAGACTGTAATAAACGAACTGAAAGCCATCAAAGATTTGCAAACCACATTCGAAAGAAAACTGGAGGGCTTATTTTCTCGTATAGCCATAATTGAGAGCGATGTGGCTACAATTAAACCACTGAGGGGAGAATTTGAAGAACTTAAAGCGTCAAATCGGGAACTCGATACGCAGCTTAGAACAACAGCTCTACGTCAAGAAGAACTGGAAAATCAATCTCGGAGAAACAACCTGCTCATCTACGGTTTGCCCGACGTGGCGGCTGAAACCTGGGAAGCTTCAGAGGCTAAGGCTTTATCTTTTTTCGCCGATAAGCTCGATATACACCTTGAAGCTACTAGCATTGAACGAGCGCACAGGATTGGCCGCTTTGCTGCTGATAAAAACCGCCCTTTGATTTCGAAGTTCCTGTCATTTAAAGACAAGCAAAGGGATCTTTCCAAGGCCTTCAAACTAAAACGAAGTGGTTTTTCTATAAGCGACGATTTTTCCCCTGCAGTACAGTTTGCAAGACGCAGACTTCTAGACTACGCAAGTGAGCAGAACGCGCAATTTAAATTGCGATACAACAAGTTAACTATAGGCAACAAAACGTATATGTACGATCCAGATAATAACACTGTGTTCGAAAGTGCCCGGTAACCACCAAAGCATACAAGTGGAAATGGAGAACTTAGCTTTCAAAAACTAGTCTTCATAACTGTCAACTGCAGAAGTGTTAAAAACAAAAAAGACGAACTTGCCTTTCTTCTGAATTCAACACAGGATGATGTGGTTATTGGTACGGAGTCGTGGCGTGATGGTACTATAGACAGTTCTGAAATATTTCCAGCTAACTATGAGGTCTACCGCAAAGATAGAAATCTAAGGGGCGGGGGTGTGTTCTTACTCGTGTCTACAGACCTACCAAGCACAGCCCTTGAATTTCACGACTGTATTTGCAAATCTGTTTGGTGTAAAATCAAACTGCGAGGCTCGAAATTTCTCACAGTCGGCTCATTTTATAGACCACCGGGTAATAATGCACTGGATCCCCTTTTGTGTTTATCTAATACTTTGTCAGCAATAACCCCTGATGACGTCATACTTAGTGGAGACTTTAATCTTCCCGATATAGATTGGGTGGAAAATATACCTAATTTGCGTAATTCACTCTCTCTTTATACCACGTTTGACGAACTGATAAACACTCATGAGTTGCAACAGTTCGTGTCCCTTCCAACAAGATATAGTGCACGGGAATCTATTCTAGATCTTTTTTTTACAAATCGTCCTTCTTGTGTGTCCTCAGTAATGACGATACCGGGCCTCAGTGACCATGAAGTTGTAGTTACACAAATAACTTGTAGGCGCGATGTCATCATCAAGTCACGCCCCAAAAAAGTGTATGTTTTCGATCGGGGTGATTATGATAACTTGTCTTTTGACCTGTTGGCTTTCCTCCCCGAGTTTGAATGCTCATGTACGTCACTTGACATTGAAGATTTGTGGTTGTTGTTTAAAAGTGTACTTATGGCTCTTATCGATAAATATGTTCCCTGTAAAATGTTATCAGGAAGGCGTAGACACGATAAACCATGGATAAACAAAAGCTTGCGTTGCCTCCTAAATAAAAAACGACGTCTGTTTCTTAAGTATAAAAAAACAAAAAACCCGGCAATGAAAAGTGAACTAAAATGCCTCGATTACGCCTTTAAAAAAGAGGTTAAGGAAGCTAAACTGCATTTCTTCTCGACCCTGGGTCCCAGGTTGCTTAACAACCCAAAAGAATTATGGAAAATTGTGAAAAGAACGGGTAATAACGAAAGCATAGGTATACCCCCAATACTTCAGAACAATGAATTGACTTCGGACGACTTAGAGAGAGCGGTTTGCTTCAACAATTTTTTTCAGTCTGTTTTTTCTAGTCCAGCAGAGACAGACGAATTGGCCCCATCTATGTCAGAACTTAATGGGATGCCAGAATTTGTAATTGAGGATAATGGTGTACTTAAACTTCTTTGTAATTTAAAACCTCATTCAGCCACAGGACCCGATGGAATCCCTAACCACGTGTTAAAATCGTGTGCTACCGCGATTACGTCCTTCCTAGTTATATTGTTTAACAAATCGCTTTTCTCGAGCAAGCTGCCGTCGGATTGGAAGACTGCTAATATTGCACCCGTCCATAAGGCAGGTCTTAAACGCGAGGTATCTAATTACAGGCCAATATCGCTGACTAGTGTTTGTTCCAAACTGCTAGAACACATCATATACTCAAATATTGTGTCTCATCTAGAGTTAAATAATTATTTTACCCCGCAGCAGCATGGTTTTCGCTCGGGTCTGTCGTGCTCTACGCAGTTGATTGAATTTGTCCATGATATTTCTCTCTCATTCGATAAAAATATACAAACTGACTGCTTACTTTTAGACTTCCAAAAAGCTTTCGACAAAGTGCCCCACTCCCTTCTTATGCACAAATTGTCATCCCTGGGGTTACCTGGTTATCTTATCAAGTGGCTGAAAGACTATTTAACTGATCGTACTCAGTGTGTAGTTGTCAATGGTGTTAAATCCCCGTACGCAGCGGTTACGTCAGGAGTTCCCCAGGGGAGCGTACTTGGACCTCTTCTCTTTTTAATTTATATTAATGACGTTCCTCAAAACTTAACATCTAGTATTCGTTTATACGCGGATGATTGCGTTATCTACCGGCAAGTTTGCAACGACGATCATTCCTACTTACTCCAGACTGACCTTGAAACAGTGGCGGCGTGGTGTAACAGGTGGGGAATGTGCCTAAACATTAATAAATGCAATTATATTCGGTTTACCAAAAAACGCAACCCTTTTCTATCAAGGTACAATCTAAACGGCACTGACCTTAAAGAGGTTACGGAGGTGAAGTATTTAGGGGTCTATTTTAGCAGCACTCTTTCCTGGGCCAAACACGTGGACACAGTAACACTTAAGGCGAACCGTGTTTTAAACTTTCTAAAAAGGAATTTTAAAATGGCTCCTGAAGATATAAAAGCTTTGCTATACACTACTAACGTTAGGCCTATCTTAGAGTACGCGTGTTCAGTGTGGGACCCTCATTTCCTCAACTTGTCCTCAAAAATTGAACGCGTACAAAATAGAGCTTCGCGCTTTGTTACAAATACCTACGCCTTTCGGTCAAGCGTCACCAAACTTAAAGAGCAACTTAACTGGCACTTGCTGGCTTCACGACGAAAGTGCTTGCGATTAAAACTTTTTAGAAGTATTTTTCTACAGAACACACGCATTAACAAGGATAAGTATCTTCATAGTCCTGATTACATTTCCTCAAGGGTAGATCATTCGCTTAAAATAAAAGAAATTAGATGTAGAACAGAACTGTTTAAACATTACTTTTTTCCAAAGAGCATTCATGAGTGGAATGCCCTTCCTGAACTTGTGGTGACAGAAACCTCAGATGCCAGCTTTTCTTCTCTCCTATTGGACCTATAAAACTCCCTCAGTGTTCAATATCCTGTATTGTGTTTATTAGTTATACTTGTATCGTGTTTTCTGTTAATTGATTTGTAATGTGCTTGCTGATTGTATTCCTTTTTTCTTGCAACAGATCTTTGATGTTTTTTGCATTTTTTTGTGTATTGGTGCTTTCAAGCACTATGTTTTACTTGCGTTTAACAAGTGTGATGCAACCATCTTTTATGTATTTTAACCCCCGTACTGTAATGCCCTCTGGGCGATGTAGGTACTGTATAAATAAATAAATAAATAAAAAATCACTTCTAGCGGGACGAACCACCAGTCTGCAGGCTGGGGCCACTGGTGGTCTGGAGTCCAGCCTGTTGGCTGGCGGGTTCGACGACGCTGGAGAGCTGAGTGACCCTCAGCTCAATAGCGCTTTCGAGCAGCAGGCGTCGGGCAGTCAGGTGACAGGGGATAAGTCGCAGGACAAGGGCGCGCAGGTACCAGAGGGATCTAGGGTACTGGTAGTGGGGAAATCTAACGTAGCACGGGTTAATAGGGGTGTACTGAACAGGGTGAAGGGAGACCAGAAGGTAACCTTAGAGGTCCAGCCAGGGAAGTGTATGGTGGATTCTATGACCACAGCATGTTAGGGGGGGGGATAACCGGGAGGGAAGGAAGCTAGTAATAGTTCATGCGGGGCTTAATGATGTGCTCAAGGGTAAGAGCCAGAACCTCGGAAAGCAGCTAAACGTGGAAATGCGTAAGCTGAGGGACGTGTCTGAGAATGCGCACGTGGTTGTGTGCACCATTCCAGAAGTTCGCGGGCAGTCCTGGGTAACGAAGAGGAGGGTTGTCGAAGCCAACAGAATAATTGAGGGTATGAGTCGACAGCTTCGGTACGACGCAATGGAAGTAAACAGGGAAGTGTACGAGGCTGGCTCCCGCCCTTTTGCAGATGGCATTCACTGCAGTGAGGCCCCGGGTTACAGGGTGGGGGATAGGATGGGCCGCATGGTGACCGCTTTTTGTGGAGGGACCGAGGGCCCTGGGGGCACTGAAGTAACTGAAAACCCAACAAAGTCAGGAGAGGCACCCAGGGTTAAAAAGAGGAGAAAACGTAAGAACATGTATAAACAAACAGCACAATCACTCATTGGATATATTAACATGCATGGTCGTAGAAATAGCTTAAAATGGGAAGAGGTAGAGGAGAAACTAAGAAAGTAGGATTTAGTGGTGTATGGGTTTGTGGAAACACATCTCAGAGACATGAAGCAGCCACCTTGCAAGCCTGATTATGTGTGGGAAGAATGCAACAGAATGGAGAGAACGAGGAAGGGAGCTGGAATTAGAGCATTTATTAAGAAGAGCATGAACTTTCAAAGGATCAGAAAGTAGTGCTCCGAACATTTGTGACAGAAAGGAAAAGTTGCTGGGTGATCAATAGTCCTTGGAATTGTTTACTTATGGACAGGGACGGCTGCTAAAGAGGAAAACAGAAAAATGATTGATTGCATATCAAGAGACATTAGTGAGATAGGGGTAGGCTCTGAAATAATTATTATGGGAGACATGAATGCCCATATTGAGGGTCTGGATGGGTATACGGACTAAACTGGAAGCATATTACTAGAACTATGGAAAAGCATGACTTAGCTTTATGTAATACCAGTCAGAAGTGTGACGGGCACATAACGTGGGAAACTGGCAATCTACATTCACCTATAGATTGCGTACTCATATCACACAAAATATATGGTAAGTTACAAGTAATGAAAATAGATGAAGAAGGTTCCAAAAGTCTTGGTAGTGATCACAAACGTATTAAGCTGAATTTCGCAAAAGAAGTAAATGCTGAAACTAGACAAAATAATTCAAAGCAAACTTTCTGCAGCGACAAAGAGTTGGAAATAGTTGCTGAAAGAATAGAGGAAGCAGTTTCAGGGCAACAATATACAGATTGGACCTATGAGAGCCTAACTAGGCTTTTTACTCTGGAACTAGACAAAGTTCAGAGTAAACGAAAAGGGAAGCAAGGACATAGACCAAAAAGCTGGTGGGACAAACAAGTGAAGCAAGCGATACAAAAACGCCAGTAAGCCTCTAGAGAACATAGGTATTCCAAGCGTAGCGGGGAGTCAGAAACAGAAGTAAAAAGAAAATGGGACACTTTTATAACATGTCGCCGAGAGGCATCC